TGCTCGCTGTTTCGGACTGATTCTCAACACTTGGTGCTGTAGAATTTGATCTTCAATCGGTCGCAAAAAACGTAGCTTCAACCAGTGTTGATGTATCTGTTGGTGCGCGGTTTTATTACATCAGTGTAGTAATAATAAGCATAATACAAAGTTAATTTATCTGGCACCAATTCAGAAGCCAAACGATTTAAGTTAAGGAAACCAGTTGAGGAGATGTCTTTTTTTAGCCACTTCAGTTGAAAGCAGAACTGAATATTAGTTTCTTCATCATCAATGACATTTTTAAAGAAGAAAAAGAAAGAGAAGAATAAAGTTAAATGTAATGGGAAAGAGCAAAAGAGAGATTAGAAGATATGTGAAATATATGAAGACACAAAACAACACACCTGACATCTTGGCTGCACACCTACAGAAACAGAGATAACAAAAACACAGCAACAAAAATGCATATGTATATAATAATAATGATTATAACCTTACTGAAAGGTATTCTTATAAATATATATATATCTCCATACCTACACACACATGCATACACATACTGTATGTCTATACATACACATATGCACATACTATTCAATCTGTGTCCGACCAGAAAACCCAGGATTTAAACACCTGTTTGTGTGCGGTTGTGAGCATGCATGTGTGTACAAGATCTCACCAATGGAATGTTTAAAAGTGACTGTGGAGGACCACAGACCCGACCTGTAAAGCCCGAAGGCGACATAAGGGAGACCAGCGCCAAAGACCCTGAGAGGGACCCCAAGTGCGGAGCCCCCAGACACACCCGCGCCAGGTGCCCACCCACCCCGCAAAGGGGACCATAGGAGAGAACAGGGAGAGCACCACCATCGACCACATGCAGTAAACCCCGGGGGCCAGCAGCGATGAGCTCACAGGCCCCACCGGCACCCACCGTGCCAGAGCAGAACCAGGCATGGCCCACGAGGCCCCACCTCAAGCCAAGGCCCGACAGGGCCAGGGAACCCAAGCCCCAACGGGCCGAGCCAGCACATGCTCAAGCACCCAGCCCTAGGCATCGAGAGCCACCAGCGCGCCGGCGGGCAAAGGCACAACCCACCAGAAGGCAGCGCTGCAGGGGAAGCAGTGGGCCCTCAAATGAAGCCGAAGAAGGCGCCGCCCAAGTCCCAGCCTGACAAAAATCCAAGCATACACAGACACAATCACACAATCCCACCCTCATCCTCTCACCCACTCATTCAAAGACACACAAGATGGATGCCAAATTCCTCTCATACTCCCCATACATGCCCTATGTGGTGGAGAGGAGCAGATAGCCAAGTCTCGGCCCGGGCCGCACCAGACGTCTGCTGCTTCTCTGGACCCCATCCCCAAAAAAAGCCAACGAGGGAGTGAAAAAGGAGGCCCCAATACCTCTTCCTCCGGACAGACCACCAGGTCCGGAAAGCCCCAGACCACGGACAGACAGAGCCCAGAGGGCCACCAGAAACCGGGACCAACAGTCCACCTGCCCCAGAGCCGTCCAGACCCCCAAGACCCGACCCCCAGCCAGCCCGCAACCGAAAGAAGCTACCGTACCCCAGCGAGGACGATTCAGCCGAGAGTGCACACCCAGCAGCCGACAGCGCAARGAGGGACCAAGAGCAAACCTCCGCCACAACAAAGGGGCCAACCAAGCTGACCCAGCACAGCTCCCGGCCACCACCAAGGCCACCTACCCAGCCCCCACCACAGAAGAAATACTATACCTACCTACCTACCTACCCCATAATTCAGATAACTCTCAGAACATACAGCACACTAGACACCCAGGTTGGGTTGGCCTATCCCCTCCCACGGGCCACCGGCCCCGCCCCAATTAAAGTACATTAAAATACATTCTACCATAAATCAAATGTGACAAAAGACCCAAAAACACAAATGTAAAAAAAACTAATTATACAAAAAGAATCTGAAGAGGGGAAAAAAGTTTTCAAAGACAAACCTGAGCCTTTGGTTAAGTTTGTTTCTGGTGGCATATAAAGCAATTAAACACTCACAAAAACAACCCCAACTACAATATTTCTGTTCATGAGAAAACACATGGTTGTAGAAATATGGGGTGGTATTTAAAGTGACAAAAGATGACTTCTTTTCTCATATCCTCAGTRCTTTTCGCACCTCACCCTCAGATACTGACACCAAGTTAACACTGGGCGTGAGGACCCTGTTTGAGCCAGGAAACACTGATTCATAGAAACTAGCCTTCTGACAGCGAGAAGCTAAACACCTGAAAATCACTTCTTAAAGACAAGTCATTGATAATGAAAAAAATAATGTGGTACTTTATAATCTAGTTATTTTCCAGAAGTCTTGATKTTTGTGTGTTTGTGTGAATGGCAGATGTAAGACTTTGACATCAACAAAATTTGACAATCACACATGTCAATAATTTTATCAAAAGTTTATAATGGGTTTGCATTGGAAACACCTACCTCAACATCCTGCAGGCTGAAGTCGTTCTGGTCTTTGAAATTTGCCGCCCCGGCACTCAGCTCCATCAGCATCTTAGCAATCTCAGGCTTTATTGCTGCAGTCAGCCTGCTGGCCGCCTCCATGACGTGTTCCTGCACGTCCTTCAGTTGCATAGCTGCTTTGGAATAGTGAGAGTTCCTGAACACACTGCTGAACAGGTCTGTGAGGAAGGCGCTGGCCCGACAGAACACATTGAGGGCATCCAAATATTTAGAGATGCCTTGCTGGATGTCAGCGACAGCAGTCGTGGTTCCAGAGGGAGGTGGGTGGCAGCTGCCAGGAAGGCCCACCCCGGTGCCCAAAGGCGAAGAGGCAGAGCAAGAAGAAGTCAGAGGCGCGCTCAGGGTCCGGCTCAGCTCAGGCATCTGGTACTGCTGGTGCTGTTGCACTTTCTGCTTGGACCCGCCAAGCAAAAAGCGACGCTTGTAGTCCATTTTACTTTCCTGTGCACTACAACAATACATAGGTGGTGCAACAGCACCGGAAGCTCCTGTTTGTTGTAGTTTGTTTTCTCCACAAAGTCCGCTTATCTGTTTTACAAAAAAACTAAATCCAACAGACTTGAAATTATTCAAGTTTAGTCGAGTCACAATTTAAGAGGTCCACCTGCCTGAGGGTCATCTCAATGTTCTTCATGAAACGGCAACAAAAAAKTGTGTAAGAATGAAAGGGGAATCCAAAAACCAAACGCTGAGTAAAAACTTTACAAGCAGCCCTGCTGCAGATATTTCATTCCCAACCAAAAAACAACTCCAGATTCACTGTTTTTAGCTTCAAGCAAAGTTATCATAGTAGAAGAGGAAAAGTATCACAGCAAAGTTTTAAAGTGCATTAACTTTCCCTTCAGATGGGAAAATGTTTCTTCATACAGTACACACATATGTATTTACATATATAATTCTATATCAGCCTGCACTAGTAAAAGTAGAAAAATTCATTTAAAAGCTGAAAGGAAAAATGCATCCACAGAAAATGTCACACTGATCAACAGCAAAAAGGGAAAATGACAATTTAAAAAAAAAAACGAGTAAATGCCAGAGTTAGAGGATGTGGCTTTGTTCTTTCTTTTGCAGAGGAGCTGTGGGAGGCCAAGGGCAGACAGATCCAGTCCGTCTCAAATCCTCTTCACAAAGCTGGACTAGGCAGGCAGTGAGCAAGCGGCCAGCTGATAGCTCAGTCTGTTGGTCTAAAGTCTCCAGCAGCTTCCTGGTTTATCCACCGTCTGCTGGCTGAGGTAGATATTACTCACTGCGAAAACAAGTGTGCTTCCAGATCTTGTCGTTCTCTGCGGATGCAGATTAGAGCGACAAAAGCACAAATGTATCTGTAAGGCCTCTAGGTCATCTCCTGAGGGAGGAAAGGGTAGAGAAACACAAGAAAGGGTTAGCATCATGTCAAAAAGGAAGGATGGGCTTAAATTCAGCCCTTTTACTAACACATACAARAAGACATTGTACACCATGTGACATTTAAAAGGTATTTTTCCAAGTTTTAATGTTATGTAGACAGCCAAGAAAACCAAGTTAAATAATGTCCTCAAAAAGTACCATTACTTCATAAAGCTGTAAGAACCACGCTAAAAGCAGAAGTGAAAATCAAAGTGGCAGAAATTCATAACACTTATTTCACAAKGAAAATGATCTAATGATGTACTTCCCATGTTTCAAAAGAACTCCAGTCAAAGGTCATTATTTTTTAGAAACATAATTTGAAAAAATTAGTCTAAGTTTTTAATGTATTTACATGACTACATAACTCTCTCTAATAATAATCTAACTAATAATCTAACTAATATCTCTTCTCTCTCAATTGTCAAAATTTTTAGAAAAACTATTTTTGAAACAACTTGGTATTATCATGTAAAACTATTTAGTATTGTCCAACTCTCAATTTGGGTTTAGAACCAAAAGGTCAACTTCAATGGCAGTAATGCAACTAGTAGAAGATGTACCAAATGCAATCGATAAAAAGGAGTTTACTGTTGGAGTGTTCATACACTTTAAAAGCTTTCAATAGATAGATCAAAGATCACTGATGAATAACCATTGAATTGGAGATATGATGTTGAGAGGAATAGCACATTCTTGGATAAAAATTTACCTGGATCAACGATATCAATATGTACAAATATATGAAATCTGATGTATTGAAGGTTACCTGTGGAGTACCACAAGGGTCAGTGCTCTGTCCTAAACTTTTTTCTACTTTAAATTATCTTGAAATTGAATTAAATGTATTTAAAAAATGGTGAAACAAAAACAAATTACAACTAAATTACGGTAAAACAAAATATATAATATTTAGTTATAAAGGAATAAAAAATTATGTCAAACTCATGATAAACAATATTGAAATAGTAAGAGTGTATGAAATTAAATTTTTGGGAGTGATACATGATTACAAATTGCATTGGAAGGCTCATATTGAAAATGTAAAAGCTAAAATGTCAAAAACTATTGCAATAATAAATAAAATATTTTGTAAATAAAAAAATCACTATACATGTTATACTGTTGCTTAATTTTTCCATACATGACTTACTGTGTGGAGATCTGGGGAAATTTTATAAAACCAACACGAAACCTGTCTACATGCTTCAGACGAAAGCTACATGAATTATAAATGCATCAGAATGTCATCCAACTAATGAAAAATTTCTTACATTGCAATACTTTGACGATTTCTTTTAGAAAAATCTATAGGAAAGATGTTGGTGTTTTGATTTTGATGTGTGTATAAAAAGTAAAGTAAATAGCTTATGCTTCTACCTACACTTATTTTCGGTTTTATTTATTTTCAGTATTAATTCAGTTTTGTTTTCACTGTTCTGCGTTTTTGTGTTGTCTTGTAAATTTAAACGTTAAAAATGACCTAAATAATAATTTTAAAAGATACATTAAGGGACCCTGGCCAAAAAAGGGCATTTACACTATTAGGTGTCACAGTCACAGCTGTCACCCCAATATATAATGTTTCAAAGAAATTGCCTTTGACTAGTTTTAAAAGTGTTCCTCAGTTTAATCCTCAAGGATTAAACTTACAATGTTCACCTCTTCACATCTGGCATGTCCCACTTGTAGTTTATTTTGCAGACCCATATCTGTTAAATTTGTAACAGCAAAAGAAGTATTGAATTTAAAGAGGCTCATAAATAAGATTAGAACACATTAAAACGCAATCTGCCCACTGTTGAGGTCTTCAGTCAAACATCTATTGATGATTTGAAAATGAAAACTATTAAATATAAAGTGACACCAGTTTTGTCAGGTTGTACTCACAACTGCAAATTGTTAAATCTATTATTTATTGGAAAGTATCTCGTTTTGTTGAGACACATGAAACATACTTTCAAACAGGATGGCTTTAGTCACAGTTTTCGCGGCTCTGTGGTAATATCTTATTACTGTTCAGGAAAGAACTGTCATTTAAAATTGTGCATTTCCAGACGATTAGTAACACCAGTACCGCACAGAGAGTGTCTCTGCAAAGAATCTCTGGCAGTGTCCATTTTAGCAGAACACAGCTGCCGATAGAAATTCCTGCAAGACGCCATTGTTGGAACGCACTGTGAGGTCTTTTGAGTTATACATAGGAGGAGTCACAATACTCCCATTCTATCTGACTCTTGTCCTTCTCCCTTCGGCCTTTTCACATTATTAGGAAGGAATATAATATTTGACATTGTCAAGACCAAAGAAGGACTCCTTTTAAATATGCTATTCATCTCAAAGATAGGTTGTAGCTAACTTAGTTATGCAATGTCATTAAGTAAAATCATCCACAATACAGACGTTAGAATGTAGAAGAACTTAACATTTATTAACAAACTGTGACTAAACTTGTTTTAGCTGAAATTTCTATTTTAAATATGAACATGGTTGTTATTTCTTATCAAAACCCATTCCTTTGTATTCCTGATACTTTACTGGCATTCCAACTTATGTAGATGAACTCCTGATGATATTGTTCATGGAACACTAAACATCAGCCTAATAAATTAAACTCTTCTGTTCGCTGTTCTCTAAACACCAGAGCTATCATCCTGTGGAACATTTAAACCATGTTATCTTGTAACACCATGCTATAGAGTCCATGTTTGGCCATGAGTCATGAAAACAGACTTGTGGAAAGAAAACACTTTCCTTAACTAGATATCACTATCCAGTATGCTGTGCCTGTATGTTAAACAACTGTGTCACTGGCCCACATGTGCAGCAGCTTCCATTACACATCTCCACCAGAATTCTACTGACCTTTGAACCTCACTTCCTTTCACAAACAGAGGGGTACGTAATGCAAAAAAATAAAATAAATAAATAAAAAAAATCTTTAAACCCTTATCTGTCCTGGACCATTGGCTGAGGAGAGGGTCGTGGCTGAGAGAAACTGCATGTTAGCCACCCCTCAACGTTTTGTTTTTATCCTTTCACTATATATATATA